GTATTCTCTCTCTCCCCACACTGCCCCCCCAGTTTCCAGGCACAGAGTCAAAGGATGGTACATTACTTACTTTAGCAGAAACTTTTTCCCATTATAAGAAACTAAGAGAATATGGTTGGTTGGTTGGGTTTTTTTCATGTGTGTTTGAAGACAGATTAAATTTACCATTATATACTACATTCCACCCATCCTCTTTGGAAAACAGAGAGGTCTATGGGAAATCATACAAACATTCGGTTTATAATTCTGGCTATTCTGTGTAACACAACAGATAATCCACACTTTGTCGCATGGATGCGATCACATAATTTCTGATATTTGCTAAGTAAAAAAACCCAAATAAAACATTCATAATTTGGCTAAAATTTCCTCATTCTGAAATATGTTTCCTTATCCAACTCCATGCACTGCTGTTCCACATAGCTCCAAACATCAATACCATTTCTGCTATTTTCCAGTCTTTCTTCTCTTCTCAGTCTTCTGCAAATTTTTAGAAACTGGCAGTGGTTCAGAGAATGTGTGCGCCAAGTCTATTACCACCCCAGGATTCAGCTCATCTAGACTTGCCGATTAGTATGCGATATCTTTGGGTTTTCCAAGGTTTCCCATACTCTTCTAAATTCATTCTGTTTAAAAGCTTTTCCATAGTTTCTCCTGCCAAAATCCTGAACTCAGGGCAGTGTCAGAATAAATGGACAATTTGCTGAGAAGGTACATTAGAGGTCCTCCCTGTTCAGCCCAGCTGCTTGGCAGCTGTTGCTATAGCTTCAGGGCAACAGCAACCCACATATTTGCCATGCACCTCCACACAGGGAGCTTGGCTCCTGGATTTAGTAAGACTCATTCATCTCTTTCTTCCCAAAGCTATCTTCTGTGCTGGAACACTAAAACCCCTTTATGAAGTTGGGGCTACTGTAGCACCAAAAGCTGTAGCATCAAAACAAGGGGGATTTTCTCAAGAACAGCTCAGAATTCTTTTGCGGTAAGGTAAGTCAGTGTGGAAGGGAGGATGTGCCTCAGATACTTTATTAATCACATCTAACATCTTGAGTTGTTCTCACTAGGACACTCCCCTGAAGTCATAAACAGTGTCTGTCATAAACAGATGCTTTTGCAGATCTAACTAGCATGACTCAAGAAACAGACCACTTGAAGTTTTCTTCCTGCCTCTCAGGGTACTGCTCCCTCGGGTTGATTACCCAATCTGATAACTTTGCACTGAAACGGACTACAGCTGCTCACGTGCAGTTACAACCTGATCTCTGAAAAGAATAATGACCAGCTGAAAATCCTAACCCCTTAAAACCTATGAGTTAGGACTAACAACTTATGGATCAACAAGAACATGTTTCCTTATGCCAAACTTGACAGCAACTATCCTGCCTGAACCATCTCCGATATCAGAACTAAAATGCTGCTATGTAAACCAGCAATTCTCTAGCACTTAATCAGTTAACACAGGGAGAGTAACATGGAAGATTTTAAGGACCTTTAGTATCATAGCTAAAAGAAGCAAACAAAAATTCTCCTCCATTTTTTCACTCCTTATCCCTGTATCTTTCTCTTTACTTCATTTACTGCCAATTTCTTCCATCTTTCCTATTTCTGTTTTCCAAACCGATCTTTCCCTGATCTTGTCTTTTTCAATTCACTTTTCACTCTGCATTTGTCAGTCTTCCTTTTACTTTTTCTTCTTTGTCTTTTTCTCCAAATCTCTACGTGTCATTTTCTTCTCACTTCACTAGTTCCTCACTGACCAAAGTGGCAGGTGGAATGAGCAGGAGCAATGTGCAAATTGTTCTGGAGAGTATCCATGGCTTCATACCCAGCAGCTCCCATTATGGGAAGAGCAGGCTTCTCTAAAAACTGATTTGCACTTTTCTCTCAGTCACTTCACTTGCTATTCCAGAAATCATAGGCTTTCTGCAGCCACAGAATGGCATTCGTACCACAGGCTCCACAACAAAGTTTTAAGCACTTCCTTCATATCCCCTAGGAAAAGCAAAAAAAAAAAAAAAAACCCAAAACCCTTGACATCCTCTGTGAAGCCAAATAGCAGCTCTACAGCATTATGAGCTTGTATCCAAATACTGATCTTAACAGTTATCATTACCTACTTTGCATTGCTTCAGTTATGTCAAAGGCGTATCTACTTCATGGTGTCTTACCATGTCTGACTATAGTCAGATGACACTGTTGAAGGCCATCTTAAACAAGTTGCAGAATTTCAGTCTCAAATACTGCAAGAGGTACGAGGCTGTAAAATTGGGGAATTATAAATGAAGAGGCAAATACAGAACTAATGCTTTCTGTTGTCAGTTGGAAAATACAACGCTCAGGCAGCTTAATTCTTTACAAAGCACTGTTTTCAACTAATTTTAGTGTTGAGCATAATCCAGATCATATGGCTTCTTATTTCCACTCACCTTTGTGAAATGAAAAGGTATGAGATAAGGAGAATTGGTCTAGAGCAAACGTCGAGTCTACCCATGCCATCCAATACATGTTCTTCATTAGTTCTAATGTTGACAAGCAGTTCATTAACTTCATGGGCTTCAGTACAGGTCAGGCTAATTTTAGCACTGACATCACAGTCCAGGAGAGTACTGAGGGGTTTTGTTTTTCGGTGTTTGGTTGTGGTTTTTTTTTTAATTTGACATTAGTACCATTTTTAGTTCAAGTGAAACAGATTGTTATTTCAAGCTTCTCATTAAATGGCCAAGACTTGTATTGACTTTGGTCAGTTTCATTTAGGTCATGCTCAAAACCTTTTTAAAACATTATCAATTCCTTTCTCCTTCAATAATTCACTTTCTGTGGAATAAAACTACAACATCTCAAGCATTTTTGTAATTCCATACCAGACACGTATATTACATTGGTGACAAAGAAAAGATTTTCAGCACCAAATCTGGAATAAAACAAGTTTTTAGATGGCAACATTGACAATCTGACATTTTTAAGGAATACCATAATTCACTTTTTCAAAACCAAAACCTATTCAAGCTTCTTACCTGGACACAATCTGCAAAGAAAGAAAAATCATTTAAGAGGTGTTTGTTTGAAAACACAACAATTATGTGCTTACCCATGCTGATATGTGACTGTATAATCAGCATTCTCTATGAGACACTGAAACAACCCAGTGCTGTGCGATCAGTTAGACCATGATTTGAATTTCCGAAGCTGTGATGGACTCCTTACTGTACAGAAATCAGCTTGCCTCCACAGTCTTACTGCCAAAGAGTGTTTTGTGACAAGGTAGTTTCCAGAAATAATACTGAGATTCTGTAAGAAATTCATCGGAGACATGCGTATTTTCTGAAATCCCCTAAAACACAGCTTACGACCAGAGTAAACAGTTGAGAGAGAAAAACATGCAGGAGCAACGTACTGTCTCAGCACTAGAGACAAAGCTTTAGAGAGTAAGTTATTATTTTTAACTTCTATTTTCTACCTTTACTGGCAAATAGCACATGTCCAGGGAGGTAAGTAAAGACCGGACAAGCACACAGGGATTCTCTGCCAGTACTCTTTGTAGTGTCCAGCAATTCATGGTTGAAAAGGATTTTCTAAGCCAGAGATTCTGCCTTTATATTTAGCAGCCTTTAATGGATTCATCTTTCAAGTACCGGTTCAGTGACTTTCAAGTCATGTAAAAGTTAACATTAATGAGATTTTTTTTTTTGTTTCTTTGGGTGTTGTTTTTTTTTTTTTTCAGGGGGAAGGGGTTCTTAAAGAGGAGTGCCACAGCTCACCTGCACGCCTGTGGAGACCACCTAATTTTGTATGCTTTGAGCCACCACCTGCAGGTTCCATTTAATAACCTCTAGTTCTGGTATCAGGAGAGACAGTGAACAATCACTCCCTATTCATTCACTCCCTCTGCCACTTGTGATTTTATGGACTTTTATCATTCTCTCTCAACCATCTGCCTTTCAGTCTATTTAGTTATCCTCATACAGGTGTTGCATGCTATTCATCATTCCTGTCACCCTCCTCTAAAATCTTTCCCAGTTTTACTACATTGGGTTTGAGATGGAAGAAACCAGAACTACACACAGTATTCAAGCAGCACATACACCACAGAATTATAAATATCTATTATTTAATGGATTAACAATGATTTATTTTCTTCTCTATTTGCTTTCTAGTAATTCCCAACATTTTAATTAAAAATTTAACTTCCATTAAGCTGACATTTTTAAAGACCTATGAAAACCCTAAGATTTTACTTCCAAGTAGTAATAACCATACACTGGTGGTCCCCAGTAGTTATGCAAAATTACTGTTCTCTCCCATATCCGTTACTTCACATTTCCTGCTCTGAATTTCATCTACCATTTTATCATCCAGCCACTGCATGAGGTAAGGCCCTTCCACAATTCTTCAGTCAGTCATCTTTACTAGTCTGAACAGCATCTGCAAACTTTGCCATATTTCTATGCAGCCGTTTTTCCAAAAAGGTCACGAGTATACTGTAAAGCACAGGCCTAGGCACAGATCATTGCAAGACTTCATTGGTAATTTCTTTTTGCCATGAAATGTGATGATTTATTCCTCCTTCCAATTTCCTATCTTTTAATCAGCTATTTAACCATCTTTAAACCCTTCCTCTTATCCTACAGCAGCTTGCTTTCCTTAACAGCCTGGGATGAAACCATGTCAAAAGCCTTCCCTTTCTGAAGGTCATTTCCATATTGCTGCCAGTGTTGTACATGTAGCTCAGATCCCGCTTTAGAGACAGCTGAAAATGATTAAAACTTGACCCTTCCTGCTCTCTTGACTCTACTGTAACGCATTTCATTCAAATTCGACCTGCTACTCCCTTCCTTCCCAGTGTTCATTCCCTCTCTTCTTCCCTATTGAGTGATATTATACACATTTAACAAAACTAAAACAAAAGAAAATATTTCTTGATATCATTTGTTTACAGAGCTTTCCAGCTTATATAAGCTTACAATATTAAAGGAAATATAGCCACATCAAAATTAGTCTGAAACGTGTCCTGCATTTATTACATGTTAAAAATCAAATCAAATCCCACACACGGTTACGTAATTTCCTGTCACCTTCACACTGCAAGCCATATACATTAACAGACAATAAAGTTTCATTAGACCTTTATTGCTAATGTGAAGAAAGTTGTAAAGATTTCTGCTGCATACTAAAGATATACTGCAGGGTGGTTTTTTGGGGGGGGGAACCCCAAACCAAAAAACAAACAAGGTTTTGTGTCTGAAGATTGAAAGCTCCACATATAAAGCTGCAGCCCAACCAAGGATTTTGATATTCAGACAACTGAAGCACTACTGATTTGGAAATGTAATTTTTTTTTTACAGTACACAGATGAATAGCTCATGCCTAATTACAGATTGAGACAATTTGAAATAGCACAAGTTTAAAATCTTAACGCAGAAAATGAGACCATAAGAATTTCCAATGAAGCATTCACTCTGGAGCAGACAGGCAGCGGTGTAACACAAATACAACAATAGTACAGATGATTTAATTAGATTACTTCACTGCTATGGACTCTTCTAAACAAGCTCTTTAAGAAAGTCAGAAATGGAATTCAACTTTCATCTTTTCTGGATGTTTTGGCCTATAGCAGTCAGTCATGCTCTCAAAGTGTGTTCTCACAGAAGCAGCTGTGTATACACAACAAATCATATTTGGACATGTTTCGATCCAAGAGTGGGTAAGGACAAGCAGAGGTGAGCAGCAGGCTCACACTAACACCAACAGTTGCCATAGCAATGGGAGGAATCACGGGAAGAGGCTGGTATTGATCTTTCCATCCCATGTTCTCGCCATGTCTTCAGAGTGGTCTTACACAATACTACCACAACCAACACCATTGCACATACCCAGGTTCTGAAGTTAATGGGAAATAATAGTGATGAAAAGGCAACAGGGAGTAATTACTGCTGAGGTTAGTCTGAGTGCACAAAGAACAGCAGCAGAATTTTCATAATGACAAGCTATGCAAGGGGAAGGGGGGTGTCGGTACATACAGGCATGTTTCACCATGCCTTCCACCTACATCTCAAGTTTTCTGTGCATCCTCCTGCAGGGCAGCATCTGCCTGTTCTCAGCATTTGTAACAAGAGATTCACCAATGCCTAGGTCAGGTATTGCAAAGAGTAGGATATAGCAAAGGATGTTTTGTGCTTACTTGAAAGCCTGCTACATCATGTCAGCGTACTGCAGAATGGCACAGAGCCGGAAGGATAAGAAAGAGAGACTACTTACAAATACTAAAGAGATTTTTCAGGTTAACAATGGCATAGCTCCAGAGTCCCTCAAAATACACTACAGCACTACAGCACAACTAAGTTCTATAAACATGGGATAATACATTACATAAGAATATAAGAGATTTCGGTAAAAACTAATACTGTTTCCAATAACAACACATAGCTGAAAATCGCATTTAGTTTGCAAATTAAAGGACGGTATTTTGTTGACACTACCATAAGGCTTAAATGAAAAATATATTTTGAAGGTTTCACCTTCATGATTAACAATTCTTCTTAGGATATGCAAAATGGGAGAAAAACTGTTTAAAATATTAGAGTGAATTAAGAAAGCCTTTTAAGACCATTCCAAACTGTATCTATAAACATTGAATGACCAGAATAGTTAGCAGAATGTGGCCCTAGCTAAGAGCAGAAGGCTGCTTATATCAGAAAGATAAAACATTATTCTTGTAAACAAGTAGATCGCTTCTGCTACATGCACCCTACATTGTCCCAGTTTTATATCAGCATAATAACACCTCTGTAATCCACTATATTTGCATAAAGCTGAAGTAATAAAGCAATAGTATGGGAAGTACCCAATATCTCCAGAAACTTTATAATTCACAAAGTGATTAGCCCCTCAAAAAAAAAAAAAAAAAAAAAAATCCTAACTAGCGCAGCCTTCAGAAAATGCATCATACTTTTCCAAGGCAAATACAAAAGACAAATTAATTGTCTACATTAGTACAGATATTCTTAACAAAATTTTTACATTTATACTTAATAAAAATAGATCCTGAAAAAACCCTAAACAATACCTACCAATTGTGTACATCAAGATAACAACTCCACCATAATCCAAACAAATTATAACAGTATGTGATATTTAAGAGCTCTGGGAACCCTGTTAATAACAAGTCTCCCATCATAACTTAAAGAGGCAAATAGCCACGGGTCTGCTGAGGACCATTCAACTGCGTATACACTATCTTCATGTTCTTCATAGGTAGCTATTACACTGTCCTGAAGGGGCTCTTTAATCCTAAAATTGAAGAAAAAAAGACAAAAAAAAAAGTAAGGATCTGTGAACACACTTGATTTAAAAGGCAACATTAAGTGTCACTAATATCTAGATACGCAACCTCCCATTTAAAGTACAAGAATGCAGTAGTAGGCTCTAAGGAAATATTTTATACCAGATATCTGCATGTACCTGTGTTTTAGATAACACATCAGAGTCAAGTCAATGTTAAAGACTCCATTTACAGGGACAAAGTACCTGTTATTCTCAACTTCAGTGCATTGCCAAGTCTCTCAGACCCTACACAGTAAGCATCTCTCTCTCGCTCTAAAGCAAGTTAAACTACAGGGTATGATCTAAATGCACTTAAACACATATTTCTATCAACACCTTTTCTCTCACCATGCTCCATCCTTTCCTTTCCCCCTTTGTTGTTAATTGAATTCTAACAATAATATATAATCTTATTAGAGACGAGTAGGTAGGTAAGAAGTTGCAGTCCTTAACATCGCAGTCTCTCCTGTGCTACAATCCTGGACCCATTCTCTCCAGAGTAATGGAAGGAAGATGGAGGCACCACTCTGAACACTTTAATTTTTATCTCCTGTTCCTAGAGTTGTAACAACAAAGGATTCTCATCTACTATTGTATACCTTACCTCTCACTGCAACACCCAAGCTCCTGGTCACCTACATCATGAGACACAGATAATTCTCTTTTGCATTGCAAATATTTAAGAACAGATTCAGGCAATTCTCTGAAGTCCAAACCACCCAAGAGTCATTGATTGCGCTCTGCTAACTGAGAACAGCCCTTCCCTCCACTCACAGAGCCAATCCCTCCTCTCACAGCAAAACCACAGCACATTATTCTGTAGCTACAGGGTAGGTTAGTTTTCAGAAGATGGCCTTAGAGGTCCTTCACCCACAGAGGATCACCTCTGTCTGACAGGAATCAGTCAACCTTTCAGAAGCATCTCCCTGCCTCCCAGGAAGAGCCTTGTATTACAGCTGCAATCCTCCTAACAGAAAGCAAAGCCAAAGAGCCTTGTGAATGCTGCTCAATCATTTAAACAGATGCTGCTCCTACAGAAATGAAGTGTTGTTATTGGCCGTCTTTGCCCTTTACCGCTGCTCTTTGAAAGCACACGTCTCTACGATCACAAAGCGTATATGGTATCACATTTGAATCGCTTGCAGGATATCGCTGCTCCACCTAGCCAGCCTAACCAGCTGTGAACCTAACACTGCAATTAAAATTCAATTGAATTTAATGAATAAACCAAAAGCAGTCTGATACTGCAGAATAGCTTCAGATATTTAGTTTCAAGGACTTCTACAATTTTACTTATGCTACATTTAAGGTCAATTAACAAAAAAAGGTCATAGCACAAACAACATGGAGCCCCTGGTTAATTGCAAAGAGCAGGCTTGTTTTGCAGTTCTCCTGAATATGTACTTTGATACAAACCATCTAACAGCAGAGAGCTAATAAACACACACACACACAGACACTTCATCTCCTGCAATGTGTTTTTCTAACTTCCTGTTAACTGACATGCCTGGTTAACTGAAAGTTGGTCATGTCCCCAGACGGCAATGTGCTTCACACGGTGCTCACCCACTTACCCACAACTCCATTATTCTGAAGGTTTCAAATGTCTCTCCGGATAAGCAGGGGAGTAATGCATGGTGCACATGGCTGTCAGGGGACATGACCGACTTTCAGTTAACCAGGAGTCTCAGTTAACCAAAGGTTGGATAAACAAGGGCAAATAAGCTTCTAGATGATACTATTTTCTGTATGCTCAGAGTTGTTTCAGCGTTTCATTTAAATAACACAGTTAATCTAATTTAATTTACAGAAGTCATAGGGGAATGAGTGTTCAGGAAAGAAGCCTGTAGATGAACTTCTGTTTGGCATTTCCATTTGTAACCACAATTTTTAACTTTTATTATTGTCTATACACTGAATTTCTTCCTGGGTATGAAAGTAATTTTGTGCCTTCCCAGAAAAAGAAAGCATGCTATTCCATGTAGTTCTTCAGGCCACATGACTTCAGTGTTTGGTGGGTTTTTTTTCTTTTAAATAGTGTAGATCTATGGTAACATTATGTATAGCGTAAGAATAGCATAGCCTTGAGACAGTTATTGAGAATATGAGAAAATCCTTATGGAAGTGATCACTTGGTGTAAAAGATCTAGGTACTATACAAGATAATCAGGATGAAAAAAAACCCCACTCAGAATGACCTGTGTTCTCAGGAACGATACAGAATATCCAGAAGAAACCGTCCATAAGCATCCTTTACAAACACTATGAATGAAAACAGATTAGCCTTTAAATTACATAATGGGTAATGAGCCCAGAAGGATTCTGCTAGTGGAACAAAGAGCAGAATTTATTTCATGCATGTGAAAGATTGTTCAAAAAAATTAAAAAACCAGAAAGAGCAAGGTTGGTTGTGGTGGGTTTTTTTTCCTCACAACAGGAATCTCTTGGAGACAGGTTACCTTACCCCATGCTAAGATACTTCCAAGAAAACACCTCAGATTTGTCTGCATTTTGGCTATGTGCATGCTTTTTTTGGTAATCCAAGAATAGGCTGAGGATACTATTTTTGAATCTATATGAATCTAAGATACTTACAATTGTTCAGTTTCTGAGTCCCATAACAATCTATTTACTCTCAATGAATTTTTACACAGCTTTTACACATTTTTATTTCTTAAAGAATCAGCTCAGACTCTCCTAACTCCTCAGATATTAAATATAACTTGGTTAATGGAAGAAGTTAGACTTAACAGCTATGACACTGACATTTACTTAAGCAAGGTAACAAATACCTTTTAAACATATATATATATATATATAAAACGGAGTCTACGAAAAAAGATTATTTTGGTCACAGCGCATACTGGTGGAACACATACAAAACAACTTGTATTTATCTTAAGATGATTTTGTCTATTTAGATATTTTAATCACCCTTCTGTTTTTATCAGCTGCTACAATTTTATTTCTCCTTAACATACAGTAGGTAACTTCAGAGCCTAACATATCATAGCACTGACAAGTGTATTTTTTCTAATACTCTATTCATAATGTAGCAATGATTAAATGAATACTGCTATACTTTCATGTGCATTATTCTTCTCTCAGAAACTTCTCACTTCATAGTTACCAACTCCTGATGACAACGCCCAGGTTATTTGCCGCCTTCGGTTAGATGCATAACAGCAGGCAGAGAAAAGGAGGGCATTCGAAGTGGACTAGATACTGAGATAAAGTCAGCAGATCTTTGGCAGGTTTTGGAACGGAGAGGAGAGTTCAGGACCTTAAATTTCTTCCCAGTTAGAGAAGTTCAGAAACAGGAAGAGTACCTGTACAGAGGTGGATATGAAGTACACTTTCTTCTGTGCTACTTTAATACGTATAATTCAGGTTGTTGCCAAAACACAGAGATTTCTGTTTTTACATAAAAGCTGCAGGTTATGGGTGCAAAAATGCAGTTGCTATGCTATAGCTAGTTTAGTGTACCACAGGTTTAGGTGCTTGGCCTATTGATCCCTTGATAAAGCAGTCTGACGACTATATTTGATAAGCATACTTGGTAATCACTTGTTATGCCTGGCAAGCTTAGTAAGCTATTTTCTTCCTTGTCCTAAATCTCCCTGCCCCGTAAAAAGTTCCTTTCGTTTCTCATTTTCCTGTACTATTTTAAAGACTTTTTCTGGCCAGACTAAAATGCCTTTTTCTCTCCTATATATGTTCTTGCATTGCATCAACTCACAAGGCATCAAACTCTTATGTCATCAAGAACTCATAGTAAGAAATGTGTAATCTCTACCTGCATCCTGCATAAATTTAAGACCTGTGCCATGCAGAGCTGAAACGGGGCTGCTTTCTCTTTGTAGTCTTACTCACATAGCACGACCCCTACCAGCTTCTCCCATGAAAGGAGATGAGCTTTCATTTTACCAGGTAACTTTGAGGTTAATTGTGTTACAGACTTGAGAGAGAAGCCTGTTAAGCCTTGGATAATTGTTTTCATGTAGAGAGCTTTTATTTCCAATTACTTCTCGTGCTAACAACCACTTAAGTTTGCAGTGCTTGCGATTCTGTTTTGTCACCACAATGTTCAATAAAATATGTTTTTCAGAGTCACCAAAAATCATTAATTCCGTATCACAGTCAAAATTAAATCCTCTTTAATCTAAAAATTACTATGAAATAGATGTGATTCAATAGAGCAGCAACATGTACTGCAGCAACCAAAATTAATCCTGAAAAGCATGCCATTGGATTGTAGAACAAGGCCCATGGATGCCCTTTCCCTTTAACGGTAGGAAAAAAACTTAGCAACTGTAAGATTTTGTTTCCGGTAAGCTTAGACAACACACTACTTCCTTTTTCACTCTGTTAAGGAAAACAGAATTCAAGGATGTTTATACTGGAACACAATTTTTATATATAGTAATTGGCCATTCATACTATTGAAAGCATTATCTTTTTTTAACTTGAAAAACCAGCCTTCTGAACTGCTTCTACAGGAAAACAGCATCTTTAAAAACAGGAAATGCATATTTTAATATAACAGGTTTCATAGCTGTCCTAATACACAAAATAAATTAAGGAGGGAATATATCTGCTGATGAAGGTTAAAGAAATAAATAGTACAGAAAACACACATGTTTTTAAAGCAGAATAGTCTAGGAATTGGGAAGAGCTGCTGCACTAGATTCGGCCCAGCTTCTTACACACCCAACCAAGTAAAGTCCTGAATACTGGCCTTCCCCAAAACAGAAACTATTTAAGCTGTTTTAATTAATTGAGTCTCTTGGCTGATTCCATAGCATAACCCTATGATTTCTAGATTCCTCCAAGACATAAATACCACAAGCCGAATATCATCAAAATTAACGCTACTGGCAGCTGTGTGAAAATACACTGAAAGCCTGCCTTATCATGAACGTTTGGCAAATACTTTTCAAAATATCAACGTTAACAATTCACTCTCC